TAGGGGGGGGGGGGGGGAGGGTACGGGGGCGGAGGCGGGTATGGAGGCGGCGGCGGCGGGTTTAGGGGAGGTGGCGGCGGTGGAGACCGAATGGGAGGCCTGGGGTCTAACCTGAGGAACATCCAGTGGGACCTCGATTCGCTTCACAAGTTCGAGAAGGTTGGTGTTGTCGCAGTACTATTTGGTACTCGCCTTCATGCAGGGCTTTCATTCTAGCACCGCTTCGGATTGGGTTTTGTTGACAGACACATCCAAAACAAACGCACATCCAACTTGTGTAGTAACAGCCCATGGTGAAAAGTTTTCCACTGCTGTACTTTGCTCCGAGGTATCTGTCGTCATTCGTGAGAGTAGCATAGACTCTCCCATGACGCTCGGCCACAGGGTCCCAGATCGTGGCCTATTGAAGCACTTTTGTGTTATCGACCGCACTGAGACTGAAGTCTTGTCATTAGTCAGCCGGTTAGCACAGTCGATGCCAGAAAGAAACACACACATGGACACACATCTTCCCACTCTCCCGCGCCCCCCCCCCTGTCGGCGTAACCCGTACCCTGCGACAAGAAAGTGTTGTTTTTTTCTTTATTTCCCGCCTCATAAACTGTATGTCTTGTTATTGGTCAGCCGGTTACCGCGGTCGACGCCATTCCTTCAAGCACACATGCACAAGAGAAGCACGACGCGTGTACTGCGGTTTCCTTTTTCTTAGTAGTAAACCTCGTGGTTGTTGTTGGCGGATGGTTGTCACGGCTTTCTGTACGCGAGGTGTGCGGCGTCTTGGGGAGGGGGGGTGCGGGAGAGAGGGGCGGGCGTGTTGGGTGGCAGACTACGCAGTAGAGTCGACCTGATGCTCGAATCGAGAACTATGGATGACAAGAGAAAACCCTGCGTTTGTGCATGCTGTGACAACGAAATGAGTTAACGCTGTCGTACCTGAGCTTGTTTGGCTCTTGAAAGTTACTCTGCATGGTGACAGATAAGAGTACCTGGGTAGCTTACGAGCAACAACACAACTTGCTCTCCGTAGTCGACTCTGTTTTCTTCAGCCTCTGTGGCCGACATTGTTGTGTTACGAGGGATTCGGACGAGCGTATTGGGTCCCGGTGGAAGGGACCGAACGACGAAGGCACTCTGGTGTTCACCGTGTGAATGAGGGGTCTTCACTTAATGGTTGGCCTTTCCTCCTCGTTTTGTAGTTCGCGCCTGTCATCCGCGTTCATGAGTTCGCCGGGCAGCTACTGTTACATATTCTGAAGCCGTTCCTCCGAACGCATCGTCCCTCCGGTAAATAGAAAAATCGCTTCCCTCCCGCTCACGCCTCCCTCTCCCTCTCCCTTTCTGCCCCTCCTCTCTCAGAACTTTTACATCGAGCACCCGGACGTGTCCAAGCGCTCGGAAGAAGAGACGACCGCCTGGCGCAACAAGTGTGGCATTGTTATCCAGGGAGAGGGTATCCCCAAGCCTGCCATGACCTTCGAGGAGGCCTCCATGCCTGAGTACGTGCTGCGTGAGGTCATGAAGCAGGGCTTCAGCGCGCCCACGCCTATCCAGAGCCAGGGCTGGCCCATGGCCTTGCTCGGGCGGGACATGGTGGGCATCTCCGCCACCGGTTCCGGCAAGACCCTGGCGTTCTTGCTGCCGGCTATGATCCACATCAACGCACAGGTTTGGCAAGAGTTTTTTCGTTGCTCTGCTTTTGTTCTGGGACTCTCTTCTCTGTCCAAAGTTTTTTTTGTTTTGTTTCGTGTGTGCTGCCTTCATCTGTCATTTGTGTTTTGCTTGGCTAACGTTGCTGCAGGCTTCCACGTAGTGTCACTGCGACTACGCCCCCTTCACCCCCCC